GCTCCATCATAGCACTGATGGCCCTTGGTGCCATGTTGGCTAGAAGAGATGGCTGAAGCTTGTGTGTCCAGACCCCTGCTAACTAGGGCTCTACTCTCCCTCAATCCCAGATCTCACCCTCTCCATGTCACAAGCCTGACTTTTTCTGTCTTGCTATCCAACCCCATCCTGCTGCCCCTCAGAACCTTTACCATGACTCCCAAGCTCTGTCCCTGTGCAGGTGCAGTGGTGGAGGGCAAGTCAGGCYGTGACCAGAGCCCATGTGTGGCAGACCTCTTCCTGGCTGCATTGGCTGCTGCCTGCAGCATCCCCCTGGAGAGGAACAGCTGTCGGGAAGCCAAGCAGCAGGTCAGACCAGCATTAAACTTCTTTAGTATGTGCAGTACTTCAGGTGGCCAGAGTACAAACAGGCTGATTCCTGCAGGTTGCTTATGCAGTAGCTGAAAAGCTTATGGAAGACGAGAGCCAGCAGCTTGCAAGACTGCTGGAGAGACTGGAGCACCCATGCTRCTCCTTGAACGTGCTGAAGGTAATGGTCCCCTCCTTTTATCTGGCTCTGCCCAGAGGTGTTGGACCTTTGCTCTGGAATTAGGAGCATGGGGAAGAGGCAACTGTGGTCTTAGCCCTCTATGATTCCCATCTACCAGGTGTCAGTTGTTGAATAAATGAGCCCATGGTAGCCATGGGGTGTGACTGGAGTGGACCTGTCTCCAGGGGCTGATAGGCATCTCTCCCCTCTGCTTTGCAGATCCTGTATGCTGGCTGTCATGCCTGCCCAAACCTGTGCCAGCACCTGGGAAGGAACCAACCACTCTGGGGTTCCCTCATGCTGCTCTTGAAGCGTGAGGTAGGACTGACCACAGTGCTGGTGGTGGGGTAGGAGTGTGGGCAAGCAGCACACATTGCTCTGWGCACTGCTTGGACCAATCTGTGTGGGGGGAAGAGTTTAGGGGCGTTTAATCTGAAAAGTGCAGTTCTCAGGGGAAGAAGTATCCCCTTCTCTCCTGGTATGACTCCTGCTCCCTTGGTAGGTCCCTGTGGTGGAGGTGGCCCAGGAGGCAGCCTGTGAAGCCTCTCTGTACCTGCTGGCCCTGCTCACCCTGCAGCTTCAGGCCTTCCCTCCTAGGTAAGCACCCACTTTCACTCATGGGTGGGAGAGGAAYATGCTCTGCCCTGAACAGCCCTCTGTCCCTCATCCTGCCCAGAGCTGGGAGCCTGGTCCCACTGATCCCTCTGATCCAGATATACCAGCAGAATGCTGGGCAGTGGGGGTGGGTGCTGGGGATGTGGTGAGGATGACCCAATGTGGACAAGGAGGTGCTGTGAACYAAGGCTCCACCTGAAACATGGCTACTTCCCAGCCTTGTGGGTATTTTCATGCTGCTGTTCTGCACAATGTGAAGCTGTGCTTCTCTCCTGGTCCCTGCATTTCAGGCTTGAGGAGGTGGTTACCGTGGYTCTGGATCTCATCACCCAGTCTCCTGTCGTGTCCCTTGTGGTAAGCTGCACCCCCTGCCAGAGCCACCACTGAGAGCCTTGCAGAGCTCTACATCCCATTTGGGCCTTATTGTTCCTCACTTGCTGGGATGAGRCTGASGGATGAAGGTCAATACTGGCAGAGCAGATGGGAAAGTCCCAAAGGTGCTGAGGTCTYCCTGTCCCTGCACAGGGTGCTGCAGCATTCCTCCTGGCACAGCTCAGTCAGCATGGGGTGGCCTTGGAGCTCAAGAGAGAAAAGATCCTACCAGTGGTGACAAATGTGCTGACAGCACCTGCTGAGGTATGAGATGGGGACAGAGAAGAAGGGGAGCYATGCATACCCCACTGTGGAGGTGTGCAAATATGGGCTCAGAAGGGTGCAAGTGTGATGCTGCTGCCCTCAGACCCAGCTCCAGACTGTCTCCCACTCTCTTACAGCTACAGCTTCCCCTGCCAATGGGTGCTGGTCTCTATGATGGGCTCTTTTTCCTCCTGCTGAAACTCCTTGAACAGGTACTAGTCTGGCCATGTCTCTTTGCCTTCCAGAAAGTGTGGTGGCAAAAAGGCCTGAAYGTGGATTGGTAATGAGGCTGAGGGAAACCAGGGAACTGTACAGCTTTGGCTGAGCTGTGCAACCCCATGAAAGTCACCCATGGGCACACTGGAGTGAGGGAGGGCAGAGATGCCCTAGGACTGACACTATTGGAAGGTGCAGCAGGACCCCTGGGCCATGTCCATCTAGGCCTAACCTTCACAAGACCATGGGGCTGGCAGAGCCATGTACCAATACCCTGGGGAGCCATGGAGAACTGTGAAAGCCTCTGACATCTGCCTTTCTACCTTTAGGAGGATGTGGCCTTGGAGTGGGGCTTTGCTTCCTCAGAGCTGTGGAGCCTGGTCTGGCATTGTGTTGCTATGGTGCTTCATGTGGGCACCAACAGGGCAGCACCGGAGGGAGACCCACCCCCAAGTGCTGGTCACCCCATGGCAGAGCCAGACTGGAACCTCCTCTCCCCTCAAGGTAGGAGCTGCAGGACAGCAGGGCATCTGCCCCGGATCCTGCTTCACCTCCTGCCCTCAGACTTGCCCATGTTTGTCCCTGTCCACATCCATTCCCTGAGGCCAGAGGACTCAAGTGGTTTTTCTTGAGGATTGCAGGGTCTTCTGGGGAGACAGGGCTGGGCTGGGCTAGCCCATCCTGTGCCCAGTTGGCAGCAGCTAAGCTGAGTTGGCGGTGGAGGAACCAAAAAGGGTGTCTGTGCTGCAGGGAATTTCCACTCTGGCATGTGTGACCACCTGGGTGGAGATTTTTTGGTTTTGGACAGGGAAACACAGAATCCCCCCTGGAGCAGCCTTGAGGTAGTACAGACATAAGTGACGAGACTTTATAGCCCTTCTGCCTGCTGCTTCCCCTGCAGGAACCCTGCTCTTCCTCAGCCTGGCTCTCAGCGTCTTCACTCGTGAGTCCCACCAGTGCCTGCCTCAGCTCACCGAGTCCCATGGTGTCCTCATGGTGACACTGAAGAGACTGCTGTCCCCTGGCTTCTTGGCATGCTTGGCACAGATGTGAGTTGTGGCAAGGGCTAAAGTGGTCATAGCTCAGCTGCTGAATGGGACATGGACATGAGCACACCAAAGGCTGAGAAGTTAATGACCTGGCACTTGCAGAGCCTTTCCTTGATGCTGGGTGCAGGAAATGCCCTTTACCCCTTGCCCTGAGGTTTTTCTCATCACCTCTTTATTAAGCCCTCTCTCTCTCTCTCTCTCTCTCTCTCTCTGTGTCACAAATTCAGGCAAGCAGGAAAGAATGGGGACCCTGAGGTTGTCCCAGATGTGGTCATCCAGGTCTGCCAGCTCCTCTGTTTCCCTTTTGCCCTGGATGTGGATAAAGACACCTTAGCACTGATCATGGAGGCTATGAGAGATACCCAGATCCCTGCCCAGCTGCTGCAGGTACTCTCTTCACCCTCTGTTCCTCCTTCTCTCCATACTGTGGTGACCCATCCTTACATTGCAATCCCCAATACATGACACCACCTCACATCATGTTGGCAGTTCCTGCCCACACAGGGATGTCATTTGGGTGCTGTGTAGCCCTTGAAGAGGCTTGAGTGGCTGCTCAGCTTGTGCTGACCTGCTGGCTGCCTTCAGCTGTTGCTTGGCTTGGCTCCCACAAGTGCAGTGCACTCAGCAGTGTTGTTTGTCYTTTCTCCTTAGGTTTGCGCTTGCCATCTGCCCTTCTCGTTCACCGAGCTSCCCATGGGCCTCTTGTGCCAACTTGTTGTGTCTGATACACAGGTCATAGACCAAGTGGTGAGGGAAGCTGCTGCCTCAGAGCACATTGTTGCCTTCTTGAAATCTGTCTTGCTCTCAGACAATGTCACTCTCACAACTGACCTCCTGTCTCTCTTGACCCACGTCGCACGGGCCTGTTCAGAGCATCTGCCCTTTCTCCAGAGGATCCTGAGGGACTCAGATGTGGCTGACCAGTCACTGAGCTACCTGCTCAGCCACCAGCAATACCTGATACGGGCCAGAACCTGCAACTTGCTGGGCAACCTGCTCCGTCACAGTTTTTCCCCAGCACTGCAGAATCAGCCTGGTTGGCTGGAGGGGCTGCTGGAGTGCCTGTCGGACCCAGAGAGCTGCGTGCGCAGGGCAGCCAGCTTTGCAGTGGGCAACGCCGCCTGCCATGCATCGTGCCCGGTGGGGACCCTGGGCAGGGCYGTGCCCACGCTGACCCGGCTGCTGAGCGACCCACAGGCCAAGACGTGCTGCAATGCGGCCCTAGCTCTGAGCAACCTGGGCCAGCGCGGGGCGGAGCTGCGGGATCTGCTGATCCAGAACAGGGCCCCCGACCTCCTGCTGCAGGTGACCTGCCAGGACCCGCGGAAGACTGTGCGGGAGGGAGCCCTCGAGGCACTGCGAGCTCTCAGCCAGCACCCCGGGATTCAGCAGGTACTGCACAGGGACTCGGCTCCTTTGGGAAACCTGACAGAGTTGTGGGGACAAGGGTCATGCTGGTAAGTGACTCCTGTCCCTTTCTCGGCTGTGCAGGTCCTGCTGTCCCTCAAAGCCACCGAGCGGCTGGCTGCGCTGGCCAGTGGCAGCCCCCGGTCGCCTTCTACCCGGCACTGCGAGCTGCTCTTTCGCCGCCAGTGCGAGCTGCTCCTCCGCCGCCTCGCAGCTCTACCCGGCCGCGTGGGGCCCAGCCAGCTGTCGCCGCGCACCGGCGCTGAGCGGTGACGCCCTTGCATCCCGGGACGGTACCGACGCTTCCTTCGTCCTCCTCAGGCTCCAGCTCGACCTTCCTTGGAACACGCGTTGTCCGCCCGAGGGGGACTCCATCCGGGCGTCTTTACCCGGGGTGTTCCCCATGGGAAGCCGGTCCTGTAAAAAAAATGCCCGTTCCCTCAGAAACCGCCTGTCTCCCGGCGGCTCCCGGTGCCGTGCCCGCTCCGCCACCGGGCTCCGCCGCGCCGCCAGAGGGCGGTGCAGCCTGCGGTGCGGTGGCTGCCGGGAGCTGTAGTCACGTGGGCCCGCCGGCTCCCCATGGTAACGGCGGCTGCGGGTCCGGCGGGTCCGGGCGGGCGGTGAGTACGGCGGGGCTGGCCTGGCCTGGCGAGCGGGACTGTGCTCGCCGCGGGCAGTGTGTGTCTCCCCGGGTGCCACCTTCAGGGTTCCCCTACGCGGGCGTAGGGCCCTTGGCCCCACAGTCATGCCTGGGCCTCGAGGAGGCACCTCGGTCCAACCCGGGCCTCTTCGCGGGGCTCGCCATGGTCTTGCCCTGTGACCCGTGGGGCTRGGGGTCGGCCCGTGAGCGCTCTGTGGCGAGATGTGCTGGGCTTGGCGACCTGGGTGGCGCTTCGGGGGCAGGATAGAGCATCCCGGTAGCACCTTTGGCTTCAGAGACTCACCTGGAGAAACGGGACACGCAGCATGTTCCCCAGGCGAGCAGCAGGGAGGAAGAGCTGGTTCCCCAGCCAGCCACCGCCCCAGGGTGCCTCTCCAACGGTACTTGGAGTATCAGTGAGGATGGAGCTGGGATTGCTCTGGCCCACGTGGGGTGCTGGGACATCTTGGCTGCTCATCCTTTCGCTGGGATCTTGGCTTGGCTGCTCTTGTGTAGTGAAAAGGTGCCCATGAATCTGACAGGTGAAAAGCAGAGCTGAGTTGAGACAAGCCTGGAATATTTCCTGAATGCCACCAGCGTTTGGGCAGGAATGAGGAGTGCAGGCGTGGGGAAGCCCTGCAGCATTGTGCCAGCCTCCTGTCTCTACCCAGCTGGGCTGTGGATGTCTCATGGGAGGCAGAGTTCAGCCACAAGCTCCACATCCAAACCCTGCCTACATGACTCTCTGAGATGAGGCTTGTATTTCTCATTGTGGTGTGCACCTCACAGAATGGGCAGATGACTCCTGGACAGTTTGGGGGAATTTCCAGCTGATTGTTGGTGTTATTATAGTTTTATAGAATAATATTTCCATGATTCTTACTGTTTGTACCCAGTAGATAGTAGCACTTGTCTGTTCTTTTGTTGCTTCCTTGCTGCAATTGTAAAGTTTTTGTATTAGGTGGTTTGTTTGATAAAGTGTGTTGAYAATTGGCCCCTCCAGCACCTCTGTCACGCCTGGAGTCCTTTTGCACAGCAGGGATCATATTTCAAGGAGGAGCTGAAGGGACAAATGTCACCATCCCCAGATAATGATGCCTGTTTGGAGATGTCAGGTCACTGACACAGGCTGGGGATTTTGGCTGCTGCACCAGCCTGGCTGGGTGCCACTCTTTGACATTTCCCGGGTTCCTGCCATGCATCAAGTCTGGGAGTATTTGGCAGCTTCTCACCTTGAATCTCTGTTTCTTCTCCACTCCTGAGCTCTGAGAGATCGYAATATGGAGTGAGAGTTTTGCAGTGTCTTCAGAAGAATTTTTCCCAGCTCTGTCAGGAYGTGGAAGAGTCCTCAGCACATGCTGACAGACAAACGTTGGAACCTTTTCTTCCAACTGTAGATAYGTTTCGGTAAAAAGTATCAAGAACAGAGGATGAACTAAGAATTTCTGTGTTTTGAATTAATTGGGTAGTTCTTGTCTCCTTGCTGTGTGTTGGTATCTTATTTCACTCACTCCAAATCCTTCACTTTTATTTTTCTGCTAAAGRCTAGCCTGCCTAAGACCAGATGGAGCTGTGCTGACTGCCCTCAGTTCCTACACTGGTGACCAAACTTTTCCCAGGTCTTGCAGTGTAATTCTYCTGTACCTTTTCTCCCATCATGAAGCTCAATTGAAAATGCTGTCCCTTCAGTCTGGATCTTCAGAAATGGGCTGTAGACCTTCTTGGCGAAAGAATGTTAGACTCCTYGTGGTTTAGCTTGTTGCTTTTAACCCAGACTTGTTTCCCTATTTTTGTTTGTTGCAATACCACTGCTCCTGTAGCCCATATGAGGAGAAGGTACAAATCAGAGGTGGGAACAAGGGCAGGCACTYGCCAGCTTCCCTGCTGGGGATGCAGAGCTACATAGTCTGCTGTCACTGTGCAGCACATTGGCTTTGTGGTCTGGGGAATCTGCCAGTGAGAAAAGTTGATATCCTTTGGTAGCAATAGGGRCTCCATGCTCTGCACCATTTGCCCTTTGCTGTGGCCCCTGCACTGTCTGGTCACAGCCAGGTCAGCCCTCCTGGGGTGAGCACTGAACCAGCCCTTTATTTTAGGTGCCCCTGTAGTGTTCAAGCTACAGCTCTCTATTTTCAGCCTAGCTATGCCASAGTCCCTCACCTCATCTGGCACTGTTCTTCAGTGCCCTGAGAGTGGTGGGAAAGTCCCTTGTGATGTCAAACACATGAGCCTTCAGTCCCCAGCCCAGCCTGTGTGTTGCATGGGGGGAGGCATTTACTGGAGCACAGGGTGAGGTGGTGGCTGAACGTGAACTCTCCCGTGGCTTGGTCTACCTAAGGTCTGCCTCCACCTTGGAAYGGGAGCATACACTGGAGCTACTCTATTTCTCTTGCAGGGCACTGCTCTGCTTAGGTAAAAGGATCACTTTGCGCTTCCATACACTTCTCATGCTTCTTCTGTTTAGTGTGGAGTACAGTTCAGCACTGCAGCTGTTGAATGGAAATGACCAGTCCCAGCACAAATGCTGGGCACAAACAATGCTGGGATGCAGGTGGAATTTGCTGATACATCCTCACAGGTTGGTTTCTCACTGTCTTTTTGGTTTTTTTATGTRAGTGGCCAAGCAAAAACTTGGTGTCTTGATTAGGACAGAAATTGGTTGTCATCCTCTGGATTTGCACACAAAATGTGGTTCTGTAAGGATGATACTGGTGCTGAGCGGGAACAGTGATGCTTAACTGTGGCAAAGCAGCACACCTGGCTGTAGGTCTCTGCACCACTGGCATTTCTGTGGTGGCTAAGCTGTCTCTGAGCTSTTTTGTCCTCATGGACAACTTCTTGTGGCCAGCACCACCCTCTGCTCTTCAGCTTGAACTTGCTGGTGGCTTCAGGCGCTGCTTTGGCTTGGTAGTGACTGCACTTAAGGCTMCGTATTGTTTGGAGCTGATGTAGGGGAGGGAGGGCTGTTTCCATGCCCTTGAAACACAAGTTTGTACCCAGCTGTTGTTGATCTTCTTCAATGTTTTAAGTGTTTTGAAGGGATACAAACTCTTATTTTGAAATGCATATTGGTTTTAAAATCTGTTTGTTTTGTATTGTGTTTAACTTGCTTGTTCAAGCTTTAATCAAAAGCCTCAGAGTTGTGAGTGAGGAACTTTGTGTGAACTCAGGTCTCATTTAGAAAAAAGATGTTATCCTTTTAAATCATAAAAAACAGAAATTACACCCTGCAATGGCGTGGAAAACAGTAGCAATTGCAGTTGTCTAACCTACTCTCCTTGTGACTTTGGGCTGTGTGTGGCTGACAGCACATTATCAGGTCAGCTTGTGGTGCATACATTTACAAGCTCTTGTTATTTTAAGTGTGTCACCAAGCTGGGTTTAAAATAACCTCCCCAGCCCAACTCCTTTAASAATGGGATGATGTGCACGTCCGAGCTCTTAAGGTCTTGTCCTCTCCTGTTTGGAATAGAACTGTGAGGAGCTGCCACACTGCCATTAGAGGAGCACAGGCCGCAGCAGGGCTCAGGCTGGAAGAAAGGATTTTAGTGACACGTACAAGGCTGTGCAGAGCCTGTGGTGTGTTGGCTGTGTGCACCTGTGATGTGACATTCATACAGGCTCTGGCAGTGCTCCAGCTGACATCCTGATGCTTAAGAGCAAGCTGTGTGGCAGTAAAGGGTGCTGGCAGAATAATTGTAAGTAACTGCAGCTGTATGGTCATTCCAACAGTGACAGCTTTGGCCTCTGTGTGTCAATCAGTCCAAGCTAAAATCCATTARTTACTTGGTTGGGTTTGAATTCCAGCCTGGCCAGTTCACCCAGGGCTTTTCCTAGCTCATGTTTCTACCATCAAATTTCAAGAGTGTACTTCTACTGCGGTTGTGAGATGCAGAGCAAATTCCGGCTCCTTTGTTATAGGGTTGGGTTGGCAGAACTAGGGATTGCAGCAAGCTGTGATCTTTGTCACCCCAAAACTCCAACTGAGTTAAACATAAAGGGAAAACTTCCCTGACTGGAAACCAGCAGGGATTTTCCCTGGGGCAGGTGACATTGTTTCTGCCCAGAGTCACAGAGATTGGTGGCTACTGTCCTGTTGTGACCACAGTCTGGCATGTGAAGATGCCTCAATCTCTACCAGATCTCCTGCATGCTCAGCAGCTGCTTTGTCAAGCTGTCCAGTGAGGGTGGGGGACAGTTGTCAGGTGGGCATCTGAGGTGGCTGTGSTGGCACTGAAGGAGGTGGGACAGAAGGTTGGCTGGGTGGAAGGACAGGTAGCCTGGGCTAGTGTTGCCAGTCTGGATGCATCCTGACTTGCCCCATGTGGGGTCATCTTGCTTTCATCCTTCCTGCTGCTATCTCTGAGCTCCTGTGTCTCCACAGGGAAACAGTGGCGGTGACTAGCTGTTGGCCAGCCTAGTCCTTACCTGAAAGCTGTCATAAATGCCTGCTGCTTTCTTAAGCAGCTGCTGCTTTCAGCACACCCCTCCCCTGTGCTGGCCCAGATGCTTCTGCAATTCCATGACAAAACTGCTCCAGAGCGGGGCAAGCTTAGCATATTCTCCTSTGCTACTGTGGGGCTGGGTTGCAGTCAGTGTTAGCTAAGGCTGTGCCAGGGTTAGATGTCCACCCTGGCAGCCACAGCTGCCTGCAGTACCCCCGCGTCTCTCTGTCAGTCACATCTGTGCTACTGTTGTCACTTACTCCAGATCAGGATCACACAGGGCTTCTGTTGGCATTTTCACACCTGTGTATAAGCTGACTGTAAGATTCACAGCCCTTGTTACAGCTTCATTAGGCCACATCACTTTTATTTTTACAGCAGGATGATTCACTGATAGCTGTAAAGCCTGGTGAAGATGAGGTACAGATGGCTTTCACTGCAGGCTGGTTTTGCAAGGTCATTCACAGCCGGGTGAGAGCGCAGGCGATGGCTAAACTGGCAGCACATGCGGTGATGCCACAGTGACAGACCCTCTAGGCTGGAATACTGTCATTCTTCTTGAATTTTAATTTGCTCTTTGAYACCTACACTCACTGGTGTGCTACAGTCACCTTGTGGTCTGTGTGCGTTTTTGAGCTGGGTGCATCTTGCAGTGGGGGGCAGCGTGTGAAARTCAATCTTCGCTCCCTTGTTTACTGGGGGAAATTTGAGCTGGGCAGGTGGTGGCATCTGAACCACAGCTTCTTGGCCCCGTGCTAATCACTGTGAATGTCACAACACAGCCAGGTTTGCTGCTGGGGGCAGATTGGGTAGTAATTGAATAGTGTGGTACATCTCATTTGTGGGATTCTCTTCCCTRGGGCTTGGAGTCCCTCTGGGCTGCAGCTCCCACTGGGATGCAGGCGTCCTGTCCTCATCAGTTCTCAGCGTGACTGTACAAGTGCTAACAAGCAGTGCAGCCATATGGGCGTGGAGTGGACTTGGCACCTTCCATATTTCCTTGCAGAGCTTGGCAGGGTAGCAGCCCTCCTTGAGAATGTGTAACTCCTTTGGGATCCTGTATGGGATGTTCCATTTCCTACATCCTCTGGCTGAGATGCTGCTGACCTGATATGTGCTGGAGACTGGGGCTGATTCACAGGTTGAGGTCTGGCAGGTGTGATGGCATGAGCTGCTGTCACAGTGCTACAGAGCAACCTCAGGGTCTCCAAGCTACTCTTTAACTGCTGCATCTGAGGCTTGTCTTTCATGTGAGAGAGGAGTGCATATGTGCATTTCAAGAAAAGTAACAGTGTGATGGTTGATGCCCTGCTTATCTTTATGTACCCTTTTTTTTTAAAAACATGCAAGCATGTGAGAGCTAGAAGGTGGAAGAACCAGCCAGCCTGCTTGGAATTCAAATTCCTGTCACAGCTGTATCCAGGGGTCCTGGAGCCATGTGTTAAAGCAATAACTGGCTTGTGATTTGTTTTCTCTTTTCCCTTCTCAGGCAAGAGGATGTTGCAGGTATGGTGTAATAGTTCATTCTAGGAGGATTCAGAACACTTACATCTGCAGCTCTGGGGTCTGCCAGTTTGCTCTTTGCAGKAGACTTTTCTGTAGGACTGCAATGGGGAGAAATGTCTGTGCACATTACTGCCAGTCTCTGCTGGAAATGGAAGGGTTGATGTTAGAATAGTCCTTAGACAGTATTTGCTCCTTGCTGCCTTCTCAGTCCTGAGCTCTTTAGGATGTCCTTTAGGATGTCCTCAGCTCTTGCTGAGCTTTTCTGCCTAAGTGAAAAACACATTCCTTTTAAAAGCAAGGGCTGAGGTTCTCATCTAGTGGTGTCATATTGTGAAGTGGAGCTTTAAGTAGCAGGGAGAAAAAAAAAAACCGTTTTGGGGCTGGTGGTAGAGGCTGATGTTGGAAACACACACCTGTAGGAGTGGGCTCCAGCTGCTGTGTGGGTCCCAGGCAGGAAGCCTCTTTTTGCAGACAGGGCTGCTGTGCTGGGGCTGCTGCCCCATGTCTCTAGCTGCTGGTCAGGCACTTCTGTGTGTTTGTAGGGTACAAGCTTTCCTGCAGATGGCCCTCTCTACATTGTTCTTTGCATCCTCTGGTTTCATGTGCGATGCCAGCTGTTCTTTGACTTGGTGAGCTCAGTGGATGGGAGATGTGGTTTTCATCCTGCAGGAAAAGCAGCTCGCCTTATGTGGCATGGGGCTGGATGCTGTGCCCTGACAGGGCAACAGTGTCTTCCATGCTGTCCTCTTGTTTCAGGCCAGCAAAGATGCTGCTGTAGATGACTGACTCGCTTGTGCCTCACTTGCTACATGGCCTCGGCAGGACCAGGCCATGTTAACCTGGGCCGCAAACAGCAGAAGAGTGTTGGGCTGGAGTCAGGCACCCTTCTGGCAGAAAGATCTCAGCCGTTCTGGGCCTGGCGCCTCGCTCAGCAGCAGGCGAAACCTGTCTGGAATTTAGATAAGAGGTATGTGAGTGCTTTCCAGAATCACATCCTGCTGCCCTCAGGGATCCCTCTGCAGCAATCCTGCTTCTTGTGCTCACCGTCGCTATGCCATGCACAGCCCACTGAAGACACCCTCCGAAGCCCTCGAGGTATTGGCTCTGTCAGAGGAAGGGTGATGTCTTCCTTGCTGATGGAGCCCTGCCTGCTGGCAGAGAAGCACTCTGGGACTGGGGTCAAAGGCTCTGCTCTCAGCTCAGGCCAGCAGGCTGCCTGCTCCTATTCATCAGTGCTCAATAACAGCTCCTTCCTACAGCCAAGCAGTGCTAAAGTGCCTTTTCTGCAGTCACTGAAGATCAAAAAGGTGGAAAACACTCAGAGTTTTCCTACTGCCTCATGGTCCCACTCCAGAAACAATGAAGACGGCTTCCCTAGCAGCCTGATCAGCAGAGCAGTGACAAATAGCAGCCTTGTGTCGCAGCAAACCGCAGTCCCCTCCTTTACCCCTGTGCCAAGCAGTGTGGTCCTCAGGAAGGACCTGTGCTCCTGGGAGGATGCTAAGGGGAGACTTCACAGCTCAAAAGAGGAGGAGCCAGAGAAGGGCCTCTTGAAGGCTGTGCAGCTGCTACCCAGTCAGGCTGCCACACGGAAGGGCTTTGGGTGCCAAGTCGAAAGTTCTGGCCTTACGAATGTCAGCATCGTGTCCAACTGGAGCAGCAGGAGGAGACAGCATATCGGAGTGCAGATCATCCGGAAACAAACCATCTCTCCCCTGAACTTGGAGCTGGGGAGCCATCGCCTTAAGAGTAACTTGAGCCTTACGGGCACCTGTGGTGCCATAGCCCGCCCTAAGCGGATCAGTGTCCGTCCCTTGGCTTCACGCACTGGCACTACCAGCTCCAGCACCAGCTCCCGTTCCATGGGCACGCGGAGCTCTCTGTGTGCTGGGGGCCAGGTGGCAAGAACAGAGCCTCTGCACTTCACTGTTATCTCTGAAGTAACTGCACAGGTGTCCACCATCTGTCTGGAGAAAGAGAAGAAACAGGCCCAGGCTGTGGTCCCAAGAAAGCTTAGGTGAGTAGAGGCAGGAGGGGGAGGGAGGCTGCAGCAGGATGTGCCAGGCTGGCCATTGCATCTGTATGTGCTGGGAAAGGAGCAGTGTGGGCAATACGGGGGGACTGTAAGAATAACCATGGGTTGTCCTTGAGTAAAACCCAACTGTGGCATCCTGGTGGGTGGGGGCCTTCCTACAAGCCCTAGCTCGAYGCAGGCACTCAGGATGGCTTGAAGKTGTTCCACCYYCTCCTTCAACYGCAGCATGAAATCACTGTGTGGCACGTCTAGCTTGTTCTCTGCAGTCAGGGGGCCCTGTCCACAGTGGTAAGCTCTGCACATATGTTGAATAAAACCTTACTGTTGATCCAGGTCTTCCTAGTCAGAGACATGGATTTATAATAGAACACAGARCTGATACAGGATAGAGACTGTGCAAGGATATGGAGCTCCTGCTTTCCTGGTGGGAAAGGGTGTCCTTGTTCCTCTTCGTTCTAGCTGCTCTGGAACTTGTTCCTTCTCAGCATGCTCTGGGGCCTCTCCATCTTGCTAGTTTGGGATGAGTGCTTGTACCTTGGCACTGGAGAGGGCAGTGCCCTCATTCCCCTGTCCACATTATCTCATGCTGTTTCATGGATTTCTGGGTTTTTTAGCCCCAGAAAGCATGTGCCATTCCTTCTAATGTGATGTCCTTTGTCCCAGTGCTCCTGCTGACACGTCACAACTAGAGCTGAGCCATCCCGAAGATGATGCAGAGGAAGAACTTCCTGATGGTCTGGACGAGAGCTGTGGTCAGGAGGAGTATGAAGACAGTGAGTGCCGATTCCCCAGGGAGGGCTGTGCTCCATGTCTCAATGTAGGGAGTGCAAGGGCTGTCTGGGAGCTGGGGGGTGAGAACAACTGCCCTCCTGTTTTATGTTCACACTGTTGTTTCAGGATGTGCTGAACCCAAAAGTGATGTACCAGCAAGCAGGAACTGCATGGGTTCCTTTGGGAAGCAAGCTAAGGTTCACCCATGTCCTSTAGAACTTACCTATCTCCTCTCTGTGCAGGGCGCTCAGCTCTGCCCCCTTCCCTGTTTTTTACAACACCAATTAGTGGGGAAAAGTGCAGGATCCAAGGATTTGGGGCAACTGGAAGGTTCTGTCCCCTGGAGCATTTGTATTCTCTCTTCCCTCCCTAACTATGTGTGCATTCACTCCTCACGGAGACAAAACTTGAGTTTGTTCCATCCTTCAGGTGACTCAGATGCTTCCTCTGATGCATCAGACAGACACTCCGTGATTACTGTATCCAGGTTAGTAGCTGTAAACAGTGCACTGAACTTGGCATATTTGTCCAGATTTGTCCCAGGACCTGAGGGAATGGCCTGAAGTTGTGTCAGGGGAAGTTAAGTTGGATATTAGAAAAGGGTTTTTCACCCAGAGGGTGGTTGGGCATTGGAACAGGCTCCCCAGGGWAGTGGTCACAGTACCAAGCCTGACAGAGTTCAGGAAGCATTTGGACAATGCTCTTGGGCACACGGTGTGACTCTTGGGAATGGTGTTGTGCAGGGCAGGGAGCTGGACTCAGGGATCCTTGTGGGTCCCTTCCAACTCAGCATATTCTGTGATTCTGTCATCTTTGCCCTCCATGGTGAGACACGGTAACATGTGGGGTAATGGAGTGAAGGTAGGAACAGATGTCCCAGCCAAAGCGAGTTTCCTTGCTACCCTACAGACTAGAACTGCCTCTCTTGCTACAGGCAGGAGGCTGTAAAGTGCTAAGGGTGCATCCACTGCAGCAAAACAGGGGTCTTAATTTCACTGGCACTGTCTGTTGCTGGGTTAGTTTTACTGGGTTAGATTGTGCTCTTGGAATGTCATTGCCTGGCAGATGAAGCAGAGTGGAGGTGTCCTGGGTCAGAGATTGCAAAAGCTCTGTAGAGTTTCCTCTCTCAGCATTGCATCCTAGAAACAAGTCCTGGAGCCTGGGTTTTTCTTTAGCTTTTGGGAGAATCTTTCTCTGGGGAGGATTGGTCAGCCTCGGGCCATCTGAGCCCTGCTTCCATGACTTCTGGCTGACCTTTGTTGTACCTRTTCTTGCCCATGCAGCAATGGGAGCTGGTCTTGCACCAGGGCTGCCTCAGGCTTTGCTGTGTGCCTGACAATTGGCTGCTTCCCGTCATGTCATCACTAACCTGGGAGACAAGCAAGGCTTTCTGTGAGCAAGTRTTAAGCCTTAGGGTGCTGCAGGGCTCTGGGTGTGCACATGTGGTTGTGAAAGTCCTGCAGAGGTGGTGTAAACTGGCCCTGAAGCTGTTTCTGGCACAGTGTGTCTGGTTGGCCTCTGGGGCAGACTGGGGRAGCAGTGCTTGGGTCAAATACCTCTTGCAGCAAGGAGGGAGGGATGTTAGCCACTTCTTTGTGCACGCTGTGTGCTGGCCTGGTCTTGAAACCTTTGCAGCTGTCTTCTGCCTTCAGTTTGTTGTGGGCAAAAGCAGTTTTCTRCCTGAGAATCTTAACCAATATAATCCTATGCCAATTAACAAACTTTAAATGATTGATTCCGGTACTGAAAAAAAAAAATACAATGACTTAGAGAAGTCTTCCTCCCCCATCCTGGTGTCTAGTCCTTTTACACAGGCTATACTCAGTCCTTTCAGTGAGGGAAGGGGTAGCCTGTGAGATTGTGGACCGTGTGTTGTGGTTCCTTTTCTTTTGCTGCTCTTTGTTCCTTGGAGGATTGCTCTGGTGTGGCTTCTTTCATTCACTGCAGTGGCAGATATTTGCATATACATTCATTGCATACTCTACTTTTCACTTCATTACAAACTTTATAGATACATTACAAATRGTACCCCTCCTTCCAAGTATTGGGRCATGCTGTGGTAAGGTGTACGTACAAAGAGTAAAACTCCATCCCTCTTCTCGTAACACAACCCAAGAGGGTTGCAATGGTTAAATCATCTGTATTATGATTTCTACCCCTTGTTTGCGTGGACAAGATTATGGGGTTTGTCACATGAAAAACTCCACTCCTTGCCCTAGCAAATAGCAAACACCACAGTGGTTACTTGGCATGTGCATTCATTGTAGACTCACCCCCTTYATTGCTGCAGACTGAGTTACTGACCTTAGTGCCCATTGCTTGCACCACATTGCAATGACAATGTAAATTCCAGATTAAGGCTCCTTGCAGCTTCCCCCTTCTTTTGTTACTTTTCATTTTTAGCCAGCTGCCTACTGCTTCATCTTTCCTAGGAATTGCGTCAAGTATCTGACCCAGCCGGCTGARGCTGAGGAGAAAGTGCTCAAACCAGCTCTTGTCTGCAGTTTATTCCCTAATGTGCCTCCAACTATCTACTTCAGTACTCTGGATGAGACAGGTGAGCCAKGGTCTGTTGCTGCACAGGGTGAGAGTGGCCAGCCCATTATTAGGGAGCAAGTGGAGCTAGCACAACAGTGTGGTSCTGGCTGTCAGTGGCTGCTCTAAACCCTTCCCATGATGAGACTCAGCACTGTTGTGAGATCCAAAGGACTGGAGTAAATTGCCCAGCTTCTGTAGTCTGGAGGATGTCTCAGGCTGTCACTAAATGTTCCAGTGTCCTGGATCTCCCCCAGCTGTGGAGCCTTCTGCTCCATGTTGGATTTGCAACAGGGGCTATGCATCCTCGTCTACAGGCCTGGTGCCCGTGCAGCAAACCATAAGAATTTTGCAGCTATAAAAAATCCAAATGTTGTGTTTGCCTTCCTTCAGTCCTTTTTTTGCCTTCTAGTGGAAAAGCTGCCTTGGGAGCAGAGGAAGCTGCTGCGATGGAAAATGAGCAGAGTCACGCCTAACATAGTGAAGCAAACCATCGGCAGGTCCCACTTCAGAGTTAGCAAAAGTAAGTTTGGGGAGGCAACGTTGTGTCTTTCGTTGCCTCTGGCCCATGGGCAYGAGAAGGCAGAATCACTGCAAAGAACAGAGCAGGAGCAATTCAAGCTTGGCACTGCGGGATCCTGGGTTCACGTTTTTGCTTGTCTGACCTGTATTATTCAAGTTCTGTGGGTTCTGGCAGGTTTGATCTCCCTCTTGGTTTGTTCCTGGCAYAGATCACAWAGATTTACTCCTGGGCTATCAGGAGCTAAGGCAGATGTGGRGCAGCTTTGCTCTGKTTTGCCACTCTGAGGAGGCTGRCCCTCATCTTGTRCCAGGCCCAGCRCTGCTGCTCCYTGTCCCCAWGTACTGAGGAGTAAGCCATCTTCTYTGACCATAGCCAGGGTTTTGAGGGTCAGGAATCTTGTCAGTGAAGAGATGTGTAGGAGAAGCGSTGAGCATTTACAGATGTGCATACTCTGGAATGTGATCTGGAAGTATTTATGGGSCTCCTGCATGTATCAGGAGACCTCTGGACAGACTGTTTTGGGGCCATAATGAGACATGGAGGGTGAGCAAGTCCTAAGAAGTTTTGACATCCTACATGTGCCTTTGCAGTGCAGCACTGATTGGCCAACTGCTWTGTTTGCCAGCTGTAAAGCAGAGAATTCAGGGTATTGGGGAATTAAAGCCATTCCTTTGATGCTGTGCCTCTTCAGGTCCTTGCAATGGTCATGTTTGCATGGATATGACCCACTTGGTTAACTGAATGCCRCTCAGAGCCCTTGCTTTGGCAGCTTTGCAGTAGCCAATATGAGTTCTTTGTGCTGTAGCTGTGCCGCATCTCAGGCRCGCTTCTGCTAGCCCAAGGAGATAAGGAGACGGGGTGCTGGGGGTTGAGAGGGCATCATGGGTGGCAGGGTACTTGGTCATGGACTTGTCTGTTTTTCCTGCAGAAAGCAATGACTGGCTGGGTTGCTGGGGCCCCCACATGAGATCCCCTGGCTTCAAATCCATCAGGGAGCACCAAAAGGTAGGCAGTGGTTTGGGCTGACCTCCTTCACATGCCTGGAGAGTGTGCTGGMAACAATTTGGGTGCTCCTCTCTTCAGGACTGGGTGTTTTCTGTTCAGGCTGTCCCTGCAGTGATCCTGCCAAATCTGGGAGATGAGTCCAAGAGACGGGCACAGCTGGATGAGCATCTTTGCTGTGAGGGTGTCTCTTGCACAAGCTGAGGCCATAGCAAATTTGCATTTATTTGTGAGGTTGTGTAAATTCAGTCGTTGCTGCTTTAAGCAGTCCTTCTTCTGGCAGAACTGAGGGGAAGGGACAGTGCCCTCCCTGCCAGTGCAGCAAAGCAAGCGTACATTAATGAAATCACAAAACAGTCAGGTCTGGCTCATGGCTTGGGAAACCYGCGAGAGGCTGAAGGTTTGGTATCTATCGCAAGTACATGCTTGTTCTGGAGCACTGTGATGCTCTAAACTATGCAGTTTGTGCCTGCAAAGCTTCAGGAGCAAATCAGTTTGGGTGCAACCCTGGGAGAGGAACAGAGAGTGTCACCCTGTACTCTATTCAAAATGGATGTATCCTCTGCCCAGAGGGCAGGAAAGCGTGGGCAAGGAGTTGGGGAAGCAAGGAGATCTCAYAGCATCTGTGTTCCTTTCCAGCTAAACCACTTCCCTGGTTCATTTCAAATTGGAAGGAAGGACCGTCTGTGGCGCAACCTGTTGAAGATGCAGGCTCGCTGCGGGAAAAAGGAGTTCAACTTCTTCCCTCAGTCCTTCATCCTGCCCCAGGACATCAAATTACTCAGGAAAGCGTGGGAGGAGGGAGCTAGCCGACAGAAATGGATTGTGAAACCAGTAAGAGTAAAGCAGAGCTCAGTCCTCTATCCTCTTGTAGGCTTAGGGAGTAGATCTGATCCTTTCTTGTGTTTTGCAGCCAGCATCAGCAAGAGGCGTTGGTATCCAGGTAATCCACAAATGGAGCCAGCTCCCGAAAAGGAGACCACTGCTAGTACAGAGGTGAGTGAAGATAAAACCAGGGTTGACACATAGCCTGGGACCTCTTGGTGTCTTGGATCTCTGGCCAGTTCTGGGCCTCTGCCACTGTGTGGCAAAGGAGAATTACCTGATTTGCTTCTGGAGGCTTCTTTGGAGACTGGGTTTTCCACTGCTGGAGGTTTGGCCTTGCTATATGGGCTTAATGGAGTGCTCACTCTCTCTGCATAGATATTTGAGTTCTCAGACACAAATTGGCTTCATTGGCTTTCTGGAGCTTCTGTCTGGTAGATGGACAGCTTCAGCTCTGCTGTGGTCTGGCTCCCACCCCTCTGTGCTCTGGGATTTGTCATGTYTGGGGACAAACAAACCTTATCCAGTCCACACAAGCACAATGGGAAGAGAAGTCCCAGGGAAGAGGTGGCAGTTGTCAAAGATTTCTTCTTATCCAAATTAGAATGGTTCAGTAAGAGCTTCAGTGTGTGTAGATATTGGTCAAAGGAATTTCTTAAAATAACAGAGTTCTCGGTGTTCTTCCCMTTTGCAGAAAAGTGGAATAGTTCATCTTGGTTTGAGGTTGATTTCTGGGAAGATTCTTGTGAGGGCAGGAAAATTGTAGTGTTTGGCAGACATGGAACTGCTGTGTTTCCTTGTTTGCTCTCCTTGTCCACTTTCCATGCAAAGAGATAGACTTTCCAATGGAAAAACATGAACTGGGATGAATAATCAGATGCTTTGGATTAAAATATCCAACTCTTTCTGCTCACTGTACCAAACCATCTGTGGTGTTTTGCGTGTCTTAGATGTTCCTGAATRTTGTGATCAGTGTTGTGGGTGTGGAAAAGCTACTGTGTCTTAGAACTGGGGAAAATCTCTTCAGAATGGAACTGAGCAGAAAGAAACACTGCTTATGTGCTGCAGGAACTCCTCATCTCATTTTGTCTGTAATTTGTGATGTAATTAACTTGGAAATGCTGTGCAAAAAGGCTTCTGCATTGATCCCCTGTTTTGCCAAACCTTCTAAGCTTGGARTGAGACATGTTCCTTCATATGAATATCATAACCCTTATGTGCTTACTTCCCTCTACAGATATCTGCACAGACCCTACCTCATTGGAGGGAAGAAGTTTGACCTGAGGATCTATGTTTACGTGACTTGCTATGACCCCCTTAGGGTCTACCTGTTCCAGGATGGATTGGTTCGCTTTGCCAGCTGCAAGTAGGTTCTGCAGGAGAGCAGTGCTGGAGGCTGCCTTGATGCTGAGGCATATGTGGCTGTGGGTACCTGCCTTGGCTGGGGCAGGAGGGAGTCATCCGTTATAGGGTAATGCTTAAAGCTGTATTTTGCTTACTTAAGAAGCAGTGTGGAAACACACGGGGTCGCTGCAGGTGACTGTGTTGAAAAGGAATGTGAGAGGATGCTGCCTACATCCAACTTTCCTAGTGCAAGATCAGCTCAGTGTAAAGCAATTCTTGAAATATGTTGTCTCTGCTTCATTCTGCATAAAAGCTGGCACACCAGAAACTGAGATATTTCTTCCAGTTTTCTTTGTATTGSCTCAAGCTGCTGCAGTTCCATCAGTGCTTCTGCTCACTGATGCTCTGGCTTTTATTTCTTAAGGACACACTGTGAGAGTGGGATGGCATTCCACTGTCCTAAAGCAGCCTGTTCTGTCTCATATTTTGTCCCATCAGCTCTGGGCCTGTGGGGACAGAGAGCTCCAGGCAGCAGAGCTGGTGAATGGCTGAGAGTGGTCTGAGATGAGAACAGAGTCTCTGCCTGCCTTGTAGACCTGGGGACAGCCAGTTCAATCTTGGACTGCTTGTGCTCCTCTTGCCTCCTCCAGGTACTCCTACTCGATGGACAACCTCAGCAACAAGTTCATTCACTTAACCAACTACAGTGTGAACAAGAAGAATGCAGCCTACAAGTCTAACTCGGATGAGATTGCTTGTCAGGGACACAAATGGTAGGTGCTGCTTTTAGGGCACAAGGTAGATCTTTCTATTTCCTGTTAAATCAGACTTCTTTTAGTATTCTTACCCAAAACTTGAACTCGCTTTCTGTATCATCTGCTCCCACTTGGCAAACTGAAAGAGCAGTGATTTTAGCATGAGTTAGTGTCAATGGAATCTGGATGGCCTCCCTGGCCTGTGACTCATCCTGTCCACTGCAGCTTGAGCTGTGGTTGCTGTTCATCCTGCCTGTGTCTGTGCCATTCCCTGCTTCCAGTGCTTCACTCACCTCTGCGCATTCATCCCCTTCCCCTGTTGTGGGGGTGATGGGATGTGGTTAAAGCAGAATATGATTTGTTTTGCTGTTAGAAATTGAATGGGTAATTGTGATGCTTAAATTGTTTTTTTGGGAGCTTCTGCCCATCTCACTCTTGACTTTCAAGTGTAGATAGAGAAAGAGACAGCCCTGGTTCAGAACTGTTAATTATGTGTTACTTATGGGAATAGGAGCAGTGGTGCCATTTCTAAGCCTTTGGGAGGAGGGCTGCAGTCTTGAAGGAGTTCCCATTCYCTGCTGTCCCATGGGTGAATGGATGCAAGCCCTGGGCACTTGTCTCTGATTCCATGGTGGTGTTTGAACCCTTTTAAAAATAGTGCAGGATAGAGTTCTCAGTTCTTGGCCTGGGCAGGACTATTGCACKTCAAGGGGAGCTGCAGAAGGTGCTTTGCTGTGGTTGGATTGCTTAGACTTGGACCTCCTACACAATGGTCTCCTCCCTCACTGGGACATTTAGCAGGGTCTTCTGCCTCCCAGCAGTTGCAATCATGTGGGGGTGAGATTATTTGGGTTTTCCATACTTGCATGCAAGTCAAAGCTGGCTGCTTCTGTGTTAAAGATAAGTGTGGCTGTAATCCATTCCATCTTGTATGCAGGAAGCGTGACCTTTGGATTCCTGGCCATTAGCCACATGGTCTCACTTGAGAAATATCTGAGCATCCTTGGCTCAGTGTCAGGGTAGCTTGCAGCACTCAATGCGGTGTGGGAAACTCCTGTAAATGCATAGATGCTCCCCCATGACGTCTTGTTACCCACATTTTTCAGAGATCTTTTTCATCCTTGAAGCCTCASTGAAGTGGCTTTAGCTAAAACATTTTTGGTCTCCTGGGACTCATGCTGAGCTGCTTTGCAGTCATGTGGGGGAAGGCCTGCAGGAAAGGGAGGGTTGCTGAGGACATGGAGGGGGAGGAAAGAGAAGATCTGGGCCTGGCTTACCTTGCTCATGTGCTAATTTGGGACTGTGCTGAGAGAAGTCTGTGACAGATTCACGTTCCTAGTAGCTTGGACTTTCAAGACCAAGGGGCCAGCCTGGGGAGAGCAGCAACCTGGACCTGGGAGGTTTGAAGGTGTCGRGAGGATTGCCATGTCAGGGAAGAGTCTTGTCAGGGCTCCCCTCTGTTTCTTTCATCACCAACAGCAAGGGGCTACAGAGCTACCTCTGCTTTCTCTCTCCCAGGGCACTCAAAGCTCTCTGGAGTTACCTGACCAAGAAGGGAGTTAATAGCGAGGCCATCTGGGAGAAGATTAAGGACATTGTTATCAAAACCATCATTGCGTGAGTCCTGGCACCCCTTGCTCTGTGTATCTGTGAGGTGTACCCTGGGCCCTTTGACTGTCTAGCCCCTTCTCAGCTTGGTTCTTTTGCTCTTAATTGAAACAGTGTCACTGCTGTTGGCTTCAGTATTTCTCTGAGGATCCCTCCTTTCATCCTGTTAGTTATGCTCATGCTGCAATAGCTGCAGTGAGTAAATAGACCTTACATTTCCCTGACCTGCTTGAAGGCCGGGAGGGTGGGTGCGCCCAAAATTGCTGAGCTTGCCACCTGCTCCCSTGCTTTGCCTGGGTGCCTGAGAGAATGGTCCCTGGTGCAGGATGAATCTTGTATTCAGAGGTGGATGCTGCCTGACAGAGCAGGGATGCTCAGGATGCAGTGCTGATTCCATATGTGGTGCAGCAGCAGCAGCTCACAGGCCTATGCCGGTCCCTCAGCCCACCTGCTCCCACAGCACGTGGCTGCATTATGCTTCCAGAACTGTCAGCTGTCAGCAGATGCTGTGAACAGCCAGAGCTCTGCTGTCTGACTGTCAGAAACAAGCTTTTGTTTTTTTGGCTTGCAGATCTGAGCCCTACGTGAACAACCTGGTGAAATTGTATGTGCGCCGGCCTTATTGTTGCCATGAGCTGTTTGGGTTTGATATCATGCTGGATGAAAACCTCAAGCCCTGGATCTTAGAGGTCAACATTTCCCCAAGGTAAAGCATATTCGAGCTGCAGCAGAATGTATAATGGCCTTTCTTTTATTACAAAGTGAGTTTGGCTTGTGATGTCCATTGTACCCTGTGCTGAAAGACTGTGGGCTTTGAAGCCTCCCTCTCCAGATTGCAGGAATCAAAGTCCTCTGTGTCTGTGAAAGCAACATTCATCTGCAGTTCAGAAAGCTTAGCTGGGCATGCTCCAGCTAGAGCCAGGGAAGAGTATGTTAAAAAAGGAAGGCCAAGGAGGGATGTGTCTTGCAGAGAATGGGTGATGGCAGAGATTTCTTTGTGTGGGMAGAAGCAATCAGCAGTTCCACTGCCTCGTGCAGCATTCTTTGCTTCCTGATGGCACCCRGCCGTGTGGTGTCAGCTGTGCAGGCAGGGCTGGGAGCTGCAGTGTAACCAAGCATGCTCCCTCCTGCCTGTGAGAGTGGGTGGGCATGAGGTGGACACAGAGCCTTGGCCCAACTCTGAGCTCTGGGGATGGATTTGCCTATTTCTAGCAAACTTGGGAAGAGATGGAAAAATTAACTGTTTCTGATAGGAAGCTCCCCTTTCAAAGAGCTGTTGTCAGGATTTTTCAGTGTCTCATGGCTGGTTTTGATGAGGCAAGGGGCAAGCTGGTGTTTGTATTCCGGTCAGTAATAACCCGGGGATTGATCTCAAGGTCATGGCACGTCCATTCTAGCACTCAGGCTGCTGTCATGCTTCCTCTCTGCAGCCTCCATTCCAACTCCCCACTGGATGTMAGCATCAAGGGCCAGATGGTTCGGGACGTCCTCAACCTCGCTGGCTTCGTTCTACCCAGCGTGGACAGTGTGGTCTCAGGGACACAGACAAGAAGTGGCTCTACCTGCAGGTCAGCCCCCTTCTCTGCCAGAGAAGCAAACTTTTTTCTTGAGTGATTTCATCTGGGTGGCTGCTTGGAGCCCAGCAAACACTGGCTTCTAGCTGTTGAGAGCTTGTGCTTGCTGGTGCTTCAGCTGCGGGTCCAAAGAACTTGCCTCATTGCCTGGGTATCTGGTTCCTCTGGTCCTCTTCAAGGCAGAAGGATTTATGCCCTCTCTGCAGGTTCATAGTTGGAAATSAGGCCAATGTAAATTTGCTTGCTCTGCAGTTAGTCAAGTCGTGCTCTCTCGTCCTTCCCCCTGCCAGAATTAATATGATTCTGAGTCTCACTGCCTCTCTCTTTTCTTGGAGGACTGGCTGGCTCTGTTGGGGCTGGATCCACTTACCCTCCGACTTACCAGAACTGACATGCTGCTRCCTGGAGCAAGGCTACACCTGTTATTTTGTAGATGCTGGAGTGATCSTGCCTCTGTTCTTTAGGCAGGACTGCAGGTGTCACATGGCTGCAGACCTATGGGTGGAGGTGTGCACAGTATTACTTTGCAGCTAATATAACTGTTTTTTTGTAGAATGCTGATTCCTGGRTATGTGTCCAGCCAGACCCCTAATTCTTCTGTTTCACCACAGCTAGGGCTTATGCTGGTTTCAAACCTGATGACTGGAAGGAAACCAGTCTGTTTCCTGCAGCAGAGTGGCTGCTGGCCATATGTCACTGAAGGATCAGCTTGCTGGGATAAGCACCAGCATGCAGTGATGTGTGGGCATGCCAAAAGATGGGACTCTTGCCCTTTGAGTGCTCTGTGCCTTCCGTGAAGGGAGAATCTTGGAGCATGGGCCTGTTCCAGATGGGGAGCTCTCACCAGCTTTGATCACATGCTGGTTTGTGGCTTCCAGTGGTGGTGCTGAAGGGGAGGTGTCCTYAGAGAGACCTGCAGGGGATTAAGTGGATCCCTAACATGGTTCAGATGATGCATTACSAGATTTCTTGTATCCAAGAGCAAGCTTGTTTAACTGTATCTCCTGCCTGGGAAGGATGTGAAGGGGTTTTTTTTTTGGCATAAGGGCAGAATTCCAGTAGATCTGTATGTTCCCCAAGCATCATGCAGCACAGACTCAAGGCTCTGCTTTCCCTGTTTGGATCTGCACACAACTAATAAGCTTCAGCAGCAGAACAAAAAAGCTATGTTGATAGATGGTTTAAAAGTATCTCCCAATATTCTGGCAAACCCAAATTGTTCGGTTGATGTTAGAATAGTTTAGATCGTTGCTGGTCAGATTGTGCAAAAGGCCAGGATTCCCCATGGCGTGTGGATCTGGAGCTGAATTAGAGTCCTGAGAGTTCTTGGATGTTGTCAGAGGAAGTTCTTCATCTAAGAGTTCTCTTCTTCCTTATACAGTACCGGTACTGAGTACTTGTACCCCCACCCCTGTGCTTGCAGTTAGGAAGATGTCTTCCAAGTGGGATGCAAACATGAGATCCTACCAGGCTTCATGTGCTGTGAATCAGGTCATGGTATGTCTTCGATCCTCCTGCATCCTATGTGAGTGTGAGGTGATGGCTCACCTTTTGGGTGAGCCTTAGTAAGCTATTGAAATGCCTTAGTGAGGAGCTGGCAGAATCCTCCCAGTTTCCCTGCTCCCATCCTYCCTGGATCCTGTGTTGATGCATAAGGCTGTAGGTTGATCATTATCTCAGTACTAGTGAAATCCTTGAGAAAGTGTTTTCTCTTTCATAGYATCTTCCTGAGGGTGTCATTACTCTCTCAGAAGTTGCTGGGTGCAGCTCTCCTGTGACAGGACTTTGTCTTCTTCACTTTAATTCTCTGCCTCTCTTGTGTTCTCAGTCTGGGCAGTGCTTTGAGGGAGAAGTCCAAACTAGTATCTGAGTATTTCAAAGCAGAGAAGATGAAGAAAGCCTATTACTCGATGCAGAAGATACCTGACCAGGTACAAAACAACCTCCTCTGTCACTTGCGCCATCCTGCCAAGCCCATGTCCCAACCAGTCCCACATCAGTCCCTTGTCCATCCCAGTCTGTCCCCTGTCCCTCTTCAGATTGTGCCCCTCTCTGAGGTCAGCCAGATGATGGGGTGCACTTGGGCTCCAGTGGCTTACCAGACAGTTGGTCAGAAATAAATTGGGTGGACTTAAGCCACTGTCTCACTGACTCATCTGTACATTAAAATAGGCTAGTGCTGAGGGGCACATTACCCACCAGTCCCCAAACAGTCTGARCACTTCCTGTTTCTCCTCATGTCTCTGTGCAGCTTTTATAGTCTTTGCCAGCTGACCCCATGCATGTTAATAGGGCCACTGGCCTTGTATGCCTTCTGGCAGTGTGTGTAAGAGAGGTTGGATGCAGAATTGGAGTTCTCCTCAGTTTGGTGCAGTGTCACCACTGAATGTAGATTCGTTCAGTTTCCATGTGGCCTGTGTCCCAGAGATCTCAGACACATGGRGACCTCTTCTTGAGAGACATTTCTTCCTGACCTTGGGTCCCTCTTGTCTGCAGGAGTTTTATTCGTCTGTCTTGGACACCCTGACTCCAGATGACGTTCGCATCCTGGTGGAGACAGAGGATGAGTATTCCCGGCGTGGGCAGTTTGAGCGGGTGTTCCCCAACCACTTCTCCATGCGGTACCTGCGCTTCTTCGAGCAGCCTCGTTATTTTAACATCCTGGTGACCCAGTGGGAGCTCAAATAYTACTTGGATAGACACAAAGGTAACTGCCCTCCTAAAGCCTGGCCCAGCCACCTGACTCAGGCAGGCTACCTGCCAGCAGTCGTGGGAGACTTCTGAGCTATGCATGTTGAGGGGGAGCTGCCTGCCTGCGTGCTAACCYCTAGGAAATGTGTTTTCTTCCCAGACTGCTTCAAATATCACAAAAAGCTTATTGTGAGTTGGTGAGAGGTGATGACTGTTCTGGTACACACAGCACCAGCGCTTCTAGGTGCCCTGGGCACGAAGCAGACTGGGATTTTGCCTTCAGCCTGTAACTCTGGCCTCTTACTGTGYTTCTCTGCTCTCTTTTGAGGGAGAAACAGCTGGACTTGCTGGTCTTTACTCCTGACAGGTGATCTGTGAAGGAAAAATTGGCCTATTTCCTGGTCTCCTGCAGCATTCTAATTGATGAAAAACAGTCAGCATACAGATGAAAATTTTTCCTAAACAGTAGAAATCTAGCTAACATTTCCATCYTTTCAAGGCACAATTCTGTATTTTGATTTAAAAAAAAATCAGCCTTTAATGAGGCATAGCTGGGCTGGACCATTTCCTTCTCACCCAGGATTGTCTCTGTCGGGGCAGCAGTACAGGCTATTTGGGAGAGAGTTAGTGAGGTCTAGCATGAAGGATTAGAGAACATAAAGACTGSCTGGCTCAGAGCTTTCTGACAAATATGTGATCTAGATGGAGAGGCTTCTGGAGGAGCTGGCACTCCACTGCGGCGACTGTATGTGTGCTCCTCACCTGGCTGTCAAGGAGAGAAAGAAGAAAAATGCTTTTGTCACTTTTCACTGGTGTTAAAGCAAATATCAAAGGGGTCAGTAACAGTCTTTCACAGAGAGACGGTAACATCATAGCCCTCACCAGCTGTGCTGTCAGCATGTGTCATCCTTTGCCTTGCTAATATCTTTGCTGGATGATCTCCCATCAACTGCAAGAAAGATTCTGTCATCGTTCTTACTGAAGTGCTGCCCTGAACTTTGCCACTCAGACAAGGATCCTGGTTCAGTGCTCCAGCTTCCCTGAAGGAGCCAAKTGAGCAGATTTGCTCTATCCCATCATTGCTCGCCTGTGAGCAGAACCCACCCCCCCTCTGTGCCTGTTCCTCTGTGTTCCATGCAACACTCCTCTTTCCCTAGCCAGGCTGGTGCACAKACCCAGAACAAGGCACCCAAGCTGCCCTGTTCCCTTTAACCCCCAACACATGGTTTTTTTTTTTTCACAAGGTTCTGGGAGTTACTGAAAGGTGACCGAAGAACAGGCTTTAGACAATAAGGATTTCTCCTGKTATCTGATAGCAAACCACAGTAATCCCTGCTGGATAGCATCAAGTTCCTAGCCATTGCTCGGCTTGTTCTTAATTCTCATAGCTTCTGGTATGACCCTAAGGCTCTTAAAAAGAAAACAGGATGGGAGTAGTCCTGTATTTCTCAATATTTCTGGATTAGCCAAGAGCAGGGTGCTTGGCTGTGCTGGGGACAGCTAGCAGGAGCCCTGGAGGAAGCAGACCCTGTTCAGTGCAGTTGAACACATGACTGCTTCATGACCTTGCTGTACTCTGGGACACCATGTCTTGTGTGTGGTGAGCGGAATGCTCCACTCCARTCACACCAGCCATGAGCTCGGTCTGTGCCAATCTTGCCTCCTGTCAGGGATGAAGTCTCAGCCCATGTCCAGCTCTGGATGGATCCCTGTAGAGAGGAGATGATGCACTGGGATGCTGTAGCTGATCAGTGCTGTGCAAGGAGGAGGTTGCCTGAGCTGCCCTTCTCTGGGAAAGGGGTCGATGGCAGTAAAGCTGCTCTACATTTGCACTGTAAGAACTTTCACTGGTGCAGCCCAAATCAGGTGCTGCTGTTAGCAGGCACCGGGCTCAGGGGGACAGCCAATCTGGTCTAATTCGGCAAATCCTGTGTTGCCCCAGTTTCCCTGTTTCGCTGAGCCTGCTGCACAGAATGTCTTGGCTCCCTGGGAGGAAGGCAAGCACTGCAGCAGCCCACGCACTGATGTTTGCTTGTACAAAGGGTGAACGCCCTCGGTTTACCCCGTGTTTGCKGGCGCTCAGGCACGTGTTCAAGTAGTCATTGCATAGCATGTTCTGTGTGGTCAGCACAGCATATTTGCATGCCCCAAGCTGGGAAGGTTTAACTCTTTGCTATCCTGGCTGTTTGTTCTCATTTCTTGTCTTCTGTCCTTTCCCAGGTCTAGAGCTGCTGAAGAACTGGTGCGTCAAAGGGTACCACACTGGGGCAAGGATAGATTTGGCCCAGATGGTGCGTATAACTGTGGGTAAAGTAGACAGAGATGGTTGTTTACCTGCGCAGAGCTGAGTAGAGAGCCTGCTTGTTCTGCATCCTCTGGCTTCTGTCTTACCTGTTKGCCTTCTTCCCTCTTTGCCAAGGCCTCCAGGAGTCTGGAAAAACCCATGCTGCCCTATTTCCCACAAACATGAAGTCATGAGCAGCATATCAGATCTGCAAGTATTTTGCATCTGAATATCCTTGGGTGCACTGGGCACTACATATTTGGCACCTATCCYGTCCATTGTTCCCCTCTGCAAGGGAGTCATCTCTGTCTGTTACTCCTGTGTCTTACAGCAGAATGATCCACTGAAAGAAACCCACTCTTTTGACCTCGAGATGCTCTACTCCCACTTTCAACAGAGGGATTCATTAGGCAGAGAGCAAAGATTGCTCTGTTTGCTATTCTGGGAACAGTCTGGTGGCAGTGACAATGCGCAGCAGTGAGGCAGCTCTGGCTGAAGCTCTCTAGGGCGGCCTATGGCAAAGCACAGCAGGCTTGAGGAATTTTTGCTACGACTTAAATAGCCATTCTGTTGTCTTTCTCTCCTCCCACAGTGGTCATTGCCAAAGTCATTCTTGCTCCAGAAGGGTATCATTAAATCAAATGGCTTCAGCAGGCTGGAACTGGGCAGACTGAGGTGAGTTTGCACTGGTTGTGACATTTATTGTATTCATAGTSTGGCTTTAGGACCAGTGTCCTGTTAGAGAACTGGCAGCCCAAAAAGCAGCTTTGTTTAAGGGGAGAGGAGCAGGTTGGTTTGCAGGCTTYGAAGCCTCTGCTCTCTGGAGAGCCAGCAGATGGGGCTGACATGGTGTCTGTGCAACTGGGCATGTCTCCTTGGCAGTGTACATGCAGCTTGGATGGGAGTGAAGCTCAGAACAGCCAGGCTAGGTGATATTTAGAGCTGTCGTGGTCAGAACATGCTGAGAAGATATTCCCCCCTGTCAGAACCTGTGTCACTTCTGTGGGCATTGATGTAGTTAACAATGAGCCAGAGGCTCTCAGCTGCACTGTTAGCTGGGGGAGCAGTGAGGCCTTCAGAGCTGTTGCACTCTTCTAGCTTCCCTGAGCAAAGCTGGGCTGCTGACAGCTTCCTGCAGAGGTGGAGGAGCAGAGTTTGTCTGGGTGAGCCAAACTGAAGGGGAGGCACACCCCTGGTCTCTAGTGATAAAGGAAAAGACATCATCATGTTCCTGGGCCGTGGTCAGGGTGGAGTTTGGTTTGCACACAGACAGGGACACCAAGCTGTGATCCTGAAGTCCCACTGATGTTGAGATAACTGTTGGGGTGAGTGGTGCTGTCTGGGATGGGAGATGGAGTAGGTGAGCCTGGGAGCCCTGTCTCTGAGTCAATGTGTTGTARTACTGCAGATATTTATTGTACCATGGCCCTTCTTGGTAATTTTTCACTGTCCCTTAGCAGCTCGAGGACTCCTTTTTCCTGCAGCACGGGCCTCTCTTCAGTTGATGAGGATGTCACGGGATGTCTGGAGCCCAGCCCTACTCAAAGCTTACCTCTCAAAAAGTGCACTGGTGGAGCCAACCAGAGAGCTGCTCGCTGCCTTGCTGACACTGCCCTGGTGATGTGACCRTGCAGTCACTGTCCCTCCCTGGGGACACATCAACCTACCTCAAAGGAAGAGACAGGAGCTGGCTCTCTAGAGCAAGGACTGCAGGAACCCTTCACAGTCTGCACGCTTGCTTGTGGGGCTGGTCTTAAAGAGGGATGTTTTCCTGGGCAAAGAGGAGAGCTGTGTGACTTGAGTTTCTAAAACAAGTGGTAAAACTGGAGGAAGTGAGAGTTGTCTGGTCTTTGTCCTAGGCTGTTCTTAAAGCCTGGCACGGTGGTTTGTCTGTCTGCTGCATTGGAGCTGGCTGAGCCTGCCCTTCTTGTCCCCAGACAGCATRGGCTGAGCCCTTGCTCACCTGCATCTGTGTCCTGGCAACTGAGGTTGCTCTTGCCCTGCTACAGCCTGGTCCCTGGAGAAAAGTCCCCAGCCACTACCCCACTCCTGGAAGGGAGTAAAACTGCCCAGTTTCATCCTTTCTGAAAGTCTGTACCAACATCCTGCCCTCCCCCAGCAACAGGCCCTGCGGGAGACTTCAGGCTTGCAGCTCAAGAAAGACCACGGGTACCAGTGTGCCTCTAGTTAGTTGTGGGGGCAATGGGGCTGCTGGGGAGGGAGCATCCTTCTCAAGGCCATTGGTCTTCTGGTGTGCCCTGCAGCGTATGTGCATGGACTGCATGCTGGTGCTCTTCTGCTGGGCTCTGCTCTCTATTTTCCCTTTGTTYCTCAAGGATTTCTATTAAATTTTAACACTCAGCTGCTTGCCTGGCTCTCATCTGCCTCCCTTTCCCTGACCTCTTTGTGTGTAGTGGGAAGCTCACCTCTTTCCATGCTTCACTGGGCTCTGGTACAGTCTTTTCCCAGTCCTTCCCAGAGCTGGGGGTAATTCTTGCTGCCCTGTGGCTGGTAAACATACCCCCCTGCATGGAGGAGCAGCTCCCAACACAACTGCTTTGGTCTGGGGTCTATCTTTTGTCTTGGGGACTATCCCATGCATCATTAACCAAGGGCAGCAGAGCAGTCCAGCCTTACAGGAGGGGTAGGAATGGTTGGGTGCCCAGAGCTGGCCTTTGCTGGTTCAGGGTCCTGACCCCCCAGCCTGGTAGGTGGATGCTGTGTGCTTGGGCACATTCTTGGGGCCCAGAGGAGGTGCTGAGCCTCATCTGTGTGCCCTGGGTCTGGTAGAAAGCGCCCTTCCCTCCCCTCTCCTCACAGCCCACCATTTCCCAGTGCTAGGYCCTGTTTCTCCGGTCTCCTTGGTGACAATCTCATCTCTCCTCGGCTTCTCTCCAGCACCTGAAAATAGCCTCCGAAAGTGGAGATGCCTGTTCCCTTCCCTGCTGCCAGTGCCCGTGAGGGCCAGGCTGGAGCCAGGCTGCTCAGCACAGCACAGCTGTAAGAGCCCGGCCCCATGGGCCCCCGCACCACTGCGGAATTCAAGGCCACCCTGTCAACCAGCACCGAGGCTCCAGCCTGGTCCCTCCTCTTCYTTCCCGCCGTGAGGCTGCACTAGGGGCACTCCTTGTACCCTGCCWTGGGCTGGTATCCTGCTGTTCCCTGCAGCCAGGCAGAGCCTTGTCCCTTGGGCCCTGTAGCCAACAACCCTGTAGTTTGCCCACAGCTGCTCCGGGCCGGCCTGACAGCCTCCCTGAAAGAGAAAATGGAGCCAGTAGCAGGCAGAGGGTGAGCGGGAGGGGGTGGTCCCATGGCAAGGAAGGAGGTTACCCCAGCGGTCGGGCTGCCCCTGCCAAGGGACCAGCGTGGCCATGGACAGTGAGCTGCAGCAGGACCCCGGGCAGGGACGGGCAGGGCTGGGCAGTGTCAAAGGCAAAGGGTCCACATGTGCTCAGCCCGTGGCTGCACCCCGCCATTCTCCAGCATCCCTGTGGAGAGTGTCCTGCTGTGCCCTCCACCTGCCACAGCAGCGAGGTGGCAGGACCACATTCCAACAGTGCGGAGCACCACTCCCGGAGGACGGGGGTCCACAGAGTGGGGTGTCCTTCCGCTCCCTGTCCCCAGGCATCCCTCCCTCGCCCCCTCCCTCGGGTCCCCAGAGTCAGCGCTGTCCCGGGGCTGCAATCACCCACTTCAGCCCGGGGCCGCGAGGTGGCTGCGGGTGCTGCTCGGTGGTGTCGGCTGTGTCGTCCCCCCCCCCGTGCCGGTGGCGGGGGCACGGCTGGCATTGCTCGCTGACACTCTATCTGCCAGGGCCACGCCAGCCGCGGGCCCAGAATAGCAGCGCTGCCCCGCAGATAGCATGGAGCGGCTCCGTGGCCCTGCCGCGTCCCAGGTACCGTCAGGCTGGGTGGGGGGCCTGGCCCGACAGACCCCCACTTGAGGGCAGGCCACCCCTGGGGTGGGGCAATGTGGTGGCTGACAGACCCCCCTCCTACGGACACGCAGCCGTGGGGACAGGACGTCCTTGTCCCAGCTGTGCCAAGCCCCTTTGGAAGGGTTGGGGGATAGTGGTGCAGGGTCTCCTCCTTCTCGGTGTCGGCTCTAGGCTCTGTRGGGAGTGGTCCCTGTCCCTGTGCTTTCCTTATTTTAGGGTGGCCTGTAAACTTTGGCTCTGTCAGGCTGGTTTGTGGCCGGGGTTGCTCTTCCCTCTGCACGTGTTGCTGTGTTACAGTAGGGTCTCCTGGAGACTGGGGGAATGGATTCAGCCATCTGGCCCTGTGGCCTCCCTTCTTCCTGGGGCTGCCGCTTTGTTAATGTAGGTTTCCTTGGATAGACCTGGTCCCCGGGAGGGGCTGGTGAGGCTCTCGGCACGGGAAGAAGCAAGACCGGGATTTACACCTTGGGACTGGGAGAGGATGGGTGCAGAGCTGCTGTGGGACATGCTGAGCTCCAACAGCAGAGACAGAAGGTGGGAGGTCCTGCCATGCATGCCCTGTCCTGCTCTGGGGGAACCCTGCTCTCTCCCCAAAGCAGGACAAGCTGGGTGTCCTGGACTGAAGCCACCATGAAGACTGCAGGCTCTGGGGGCCCTGGGCTGGTGGGGGGTTGCCCAGGGGSGCTGAGCCCAGCCTACATGCCCACCCTGAAAGGACAGTCCTGTTTGCCTAGCTTGGGTGGGCCAGAGCAGCTGGGTGGGTGCAGGCAGAATCCATGGGTGGGGGAAAGGCTGCTTGACTCCTGCTGACCCCTCCTCACTGTGTGCCCTCTCAGGTGGCGCTGCTGGATGCCGCTGCGTGCCCTGAGGAGGAAGGTGGGTAGCAGGAAGAGTCTAGGCGTGTAGGAAGGGGGACTGCCTTCCTCATGTGATRAATGCATCGGTCCTCTGTCCACCCTGCCCATACCCCTCCCCTCAGCTGGAGTGTGCCCCAGGCTGGAGAACTGCAATGCTGTATGCTGCCACTGTGGAATGGGGAACAGGGGGGCTCTGTGGGGAGCACCCCTGCTCCCTCCAGGCAGGAGGGAGCTGAGACCCAGCAGCTCAGCTCACTGGCCAGGGTTGGGGTGGCTTTGCCTGCAGGGTTTCCAGAGGCTGTATGCCCCAGGGAGGAGGAAGAGGAATACAGGAGACCTGTTACTTTCACGCTGGGAAATGAAATACTGGGACTGGGCCCAGGCCTGGAGGCTGAGCTTCAGACCCCTGATGCCGAGGTCTATATGCACTTCTTGAGGAGCCACTGCTGTTATGATGCCATCCCCACCAGCTGCAAACTCGTTGTCTTTGACATCTCCCTAGAGGTGACAGCCTGTGGGGTGAGTGGGTATGGGCAGTGAAGAAGCAGGCTTAGGGACCCTCTGAACCCCTCCCCACTTTGCCAGCAGATCAAGAAAGCCTTTGTGGCACTGGTGGCCAACGGGGTGCGTGCTGCCCCTCTCTGGGACAGCAAGACACARAGCTTTGTGGGTGAGTGCCAGCAGCGATGCCTGGCCCCCTGCCCTGCCTGGCAGAGAGGGTGCCAGCAGTGCTGCCAGCCCCACGTATCTCCACAGGGATGCTCACCATCACCGACTTCATCAACATCCTCCACCGCTACTACCGCTCGCCTCTGGTGAGTGCGGTGAGGAGGCCTTGGGGGATCAGGGCATGTGTGGGGCAGGGGGCAGTTATCCCCACCACTCCTGGTCCCTTCTTAATCGCTAGACAATGACCAGGGGATGATTCTGGGCCAGACCAACATCCACTTGTTGCTCCTCTACTTGCTTAGCCCTCAAAATGTAATCCCTATGCTTAGGTGATGGGGTGGGATGCCAAGGAAGGGGGCAGTTTCTCAGAGTGCCCTCAGTCCCCCATGAAGCCACCACAACCAGTGCATTTCCCTRTCTTCAGGTTCAGATCTACGAGGTGGAGGAGCACAAGATTGAGACCTGGAGAGGTAAAAATCATGGAGTGATATGGGTGGCTGGGCCCATGCGGTCACACAGGCATGGAGGTGGGCTCTGGAGTTGTGGGGCTGCAAGAGATGGCTGGAGGACCCCTTCTCATAGCTCTCTGCCTTGGCAGAGGTGTACCTGCAGGGCTCCTTCAAGCCACTGGTCTCCATCTCTCCGAGCAATAGGTGAGAGCCTTTCCACTGGGGGAGAGCACRCCCTTTGGAGTGGGGGTGTGTGTGTGCCTGGAATGCAGCCCTATCCCCCTACGATGTCCCCATCACCTGCAGCCTCTTCGATGCTGTCTACTCCCTGATCAAGCACAAAATCCATCGCCTGCCTGTCATCGAGCCTATCTCAGGCAATGTCCTGCACATCCTGACGCACAAGCGCATCCTCAAGTTTCTCCACATCTTTGTGAGTGCTGGGGCTTTGTGCACACATATGGCTGGTGTGTAGGGGCACAGTCAAGGTGTGTGTAGGTGCCAGCCCAGCCCTGCCCTGTCCCACTGAAGGGTTCTACCATTCCCAAGCCACGCTTCCTGAAGAAAACAGTGCAGGAACTGTGCATCGGCACCTTCCGTGATGTGGCCGTCGTGCCTGAGACTGCCCCAGTCTACACCGCCTTGGAGATTTTTGTGGATCGCCGTGTCTCCGCCTTGCCTGTCATCAATGATGCTGGTACCTGGGGAGGGAAAAAGTGTCATCCTCATCTCCTCTGCTAATACCTCCAGCCCCATCCCTACTCAAAACCCCTCTCCTGGCCCTTGTGCTGCCCCTTGGGGTGTAGGATGAACACGGCAGGTGGCCTCCAGGGCCCCTTCCACAACCCCTACTCTGTTTCCCTTTGCAGGGCAAGTGGTTGGGTTGTACTCCCGGTTCGATGTCATTGTGAGTACCCTGGGTGTTTGCATGCCCAGGCTCAAGTTTGSCCCCTTGCACGCGCTGGTGGGGTGCTCATACCTGTCTGTGCCCCTGGTGGAGTGCCCTCCACYCCACATGCAGTGTCACGCTTGTGCCAGTGCTCTGTGCATCCCCTGTGCTCAGTACTCTTCTGTGTTGGCACTATGGGGTGCAAGGACACCTTGGGGCACTGAATAGGGTCACGTCTACCGCAGCACCTGGCAGCCCAGAAGACCTACAACAACCTGGACATCAGCGTGAGGGAGGCCCTGCGTCAACGCAGCATCTGCCTGGAAGGGGTGCTCACCTGCTCCCCCGATGAACCTATGGAGGACATAATCGACCGCATTGCCAAGGAGCAGGTGAGTGCCCGGGGTGCCTTGTGCCAGCGCCGGCCACCGCTGCCTGCTGCCCAGCCCGCCTGTCATGCTCTGCCTGCACCCACAGGTCCATCGCCTGGTTCTGGTGGATGAGAACCGGTACCCGCGGGGCATCGTCTCCCTCTCTGACATCCTGCAGGCCCTTGTGCTCACTCCCGCAGGTATCGATGCTCTTAACTCTTAGCCCACGACGCTCCATCTTTCTCCACTTGCACCCTCAATTTCTCTCCACTTCAGGTAGGCGCCGCCCTTCCCATTGCTGTGCGCCGCCGTTCCCCGCCCTGCTGCTGGGTCATTTGCACCTTGTTACCTCCCTGCTCTGCCCCATCCGGAGCGGCTCTGGGGGTTGGAGGAGGCTGGGGCTGTGGTCTGCCAGGKGGGAACAGCAGGATGCAGATGCTGCTGCCCAGGGCACATAAGGATCACCCTAGTGACTGTGAGGAAGGAGGGGGGCACCTTCCATGGGGACACTCTACCAGACCCCCATTTGGGCAGTGGGTTTTCGCAGGTCCCTGGCTTTGGGCTGGATGAGGGTTTTGGGTGCACTCCAAGACAAAAGCCTATTTTTGATCTCTCCTCAATACCTCCCCTGAGGCCYGAGCACCTCCAGTGCCATTCCCAAGGGACACAGAGGGGACAGATCCCCACTCGAACACCCCAGACCTGCTTTCCACCACTAGCTAGATGTGAAGTGTGGCCAACCCATGGGCCACAGCTGGCAGAGCCCCCCACGCCCTCCACTTGCAGCCCCAAAACTGCCTGCTCCAGGGACAGGGCTCACTCCCAGGTGGCACTGGAACCATCCTGCCTGGCCACCTGCAGCTGGCTTTGCTCACCCASTGCCTGGTGAGTCCTCGCTGGCTGTGGGTGAGCATGGTGTGACCACCCACTGTGACACCTCTTTAGGGGTGAAATGAGGAGGGGGGAGCTGGCCCCACTTCCCAGCTGCTTCCCAAAGGTAATTATGCTTTTTGGAGTGGTGGTAGGGAATGGGTTGGAACAGGCCTGTGCCCATCAGTTTCCCAGCAGTGCCCAGCTGCTCTGCACAGAAGGGGACTGGGAGTGGTGTGTGTCAGCCATACATGAGCTATCCCCCTTGCCCCCCCTCCCCCCATTTCCACATCACAGTGCCTTTGCTCACCCCATCCCTAGTGCCCACAAGGGTGGCTGTGTCAGGAGCTGCAGGGGGCCACTGAGAGGACCCTCTCCAGCCAAGCTGCCCTCTCTCCTATCCCAGGGCTTGCATACAAGCAAGGAAGGAGGAAAGACCCCACTGTCCACTGGGATGGGCTGGGAGGCCATGTGACAGGGTRCCCAGTCCAGCACTGATTTGGGGTTATGGCCTCGCACGCTCTCTTGCCCACAGGCATCGATCGATCCTCACTCTGAAGACACCATGGAAGTGCCGCTGTCTTGTCTGACTCGGGGATCTCTTGCATGACCTGTGAGAAGGAGGCTTGGGCCTGAAGGCTCTGTGCGGGGAGGACATGACTGTTCACCCCAGTCCTAGGGCTCGTCTTGAGTCCAGGGCAGATCCTGCCAGTCTCGGGGAGGCAGAAACGTGGAAAATGGGACCCAGGGGTGCCTCCTGCCAGTGAGCACACAGTGATGCTCAGTGGGCACCGTGCTGGAGGAGCTGTGACATGCTTGCAGCTGGGCACAGAGACCCATAGGACCTGGCCACCCTGCTGCCATCCTGCTGCTGGATTCAAGCACTTCTATTCCTTCCTCATAGGGAACACAGCCCCACTGTCTGTGCCCGGTGCCTGGTAACACAGGCTCAGCTGCACACACAGCCTTGTTTTGTTGTAGGGTCACACAGGGTTGGAGCTCTCTGGCAGAGGCACAATCTGTGCCAAAGCTGACACCAGGATGGGCACTTTCATGGAGACCCTGTGCACGTTTTGGGGTGGGCAGGGGSTATTTATTTATTTGTTGGTCTGTTCAGCCTTGCTGTAACAAAGCAGCCTGATCCAAGAACTGCCTCTTGCCTTTCTGGGGTAAAGCTGGGCATGACTCCTCTGGAGAGAATGAGGATGGGGAAGAGGTGCTGGCTGCTTGCCAGCAAGTGTGGCACTGACACAGAGTGGCCCTTCTGCTCATGTGGGTAGAGCTAAGGTGACARGGACACATGCATGCAGTTTTAATCATCATGACGGTGTGCAGGTTCCTTCGGGGACACCCTGAGGACACCAGCCTTAGTAGCAGCAAGGTTTCTGCCTACAATCAGGAAGGTGTGAGGGGATAACTGTCAAGTATGTCCAATGCCCCAGCCCTCAAGGATCCTGGGCAGGTGACAATGGCTGTCCATTGCCTGTGGGCTGTCCAAAGCCCCTGCCTGTGGCTGCTGCCAGCTCTGAGTTTTGTGATAGTCCTGGGTATCAGCCCCTGCTTGGGGGTGGGGGGTACTGAGCTGATCTTTCTCCGCCTGCTTTGCCTGCAGCAAGCTCTGCCTTTCTTGTGAGCCTGTATCTCAGTACACTAAGGGCTGATAGTGGAAAGTCCTGGGAACTGAACACCCCCCCTGTGCTGGCTGGCTCTGCCAGGGCACAGAATACCAGTGTTGGGTGGTGACAGGCCTCCTCCCATCATGGGGATTGTGCTGTGTTATTGCTGTGCTTTCCCAGGACCAGGGCTGGGAAACCCAAACCTCACCAACACATCCCCAAACCCCACCAGCACTGACCCTCCCGTGGGGCCAGAGGGAAAACTGAGGCACAGAGAAGCTTCTGAGGCCAAGGTCAGCTGTTCAGAGAGGACCCAGATGTCCTGGCTCCAGGCACAGATCCACGCGCAGCTACACAAGGACGGGAYGAAGGAGACACCGAATGGCTGAAAGCCCCCTCCCTGCCTTCCCCCAGCCCCAAAAGAACCCCCAGGTTCCCGACACAGCCCAGCCGGGCACAGGATATGGGGGACAYAATCCCCCTGCAGTGTGTCAAAGGCACAGCAGTTCCCCAAGCCTCCTGCTGATTTTGGGCAGGGGGATACTAGTGCCCCAGGGGTGATTTGGGGGCAATCTCTCATCCCCCCTTCCTACTGTGGGGCTGTGAGCCCCCTGGCCCAAGCTGGCCCGGGGAGGGGTTTGCCTTCCTGTCCCTCCTTGTGGGGCAGTAAGGGGGATCTCCATTTGGCACCCAGRGTGGGGGTGGACGTGCAGTCAGGGGGCTCCTGGGCGAGCGATGAACTCCAGGTTGATGGGCTTGTCAGCCACCAGGACAATGCGGGACACAGATGTCACTTCCACGCCACGGGGGTCYGGCCGCACCTCAAATGCCTGGATCATCTGTGGGGAGAAGGGGGGGTTGGCAGTGCCATGGGGACTCCCTGGGACCCHCAGCCCAGCAGCTCATGGCAAGATCCCAGAGTGGGGGATCCCTACTCACCCTGGCAAGGGCCAGATGCATCTCCAGCTCGGCGATGCGGCGCCCGACACAGGCACGGACCCCGTAACCRAAGGGGATGGAGCTGAAGGGGTGGTGAGGGGAGCCATGGCCCCGGAGCCAGCGCTGGGGCAGGAACCGCTCAGGCTCGGGGAAGTAGGTCTCGTCGTGGGACATCGCATAGTGTGCCAGGACAAAGAGGGTCTGCAGGACAAGATGTGGGGTTTAAYAACCCCACCTGGCCCCACTGAGCATGGTGGGGGGTCCCCATGGCACGGCCCCCACTCACATTCTTGGGGAAGAGGTAGTCTCCGATGACAATGTCCTTCTCATAGAAGACCCTGGCGTTGGTGGGCACCACAGGGTAGACTCTGGGATATGGGGAGAGTTAGTGTGGGAGTGGGACTCATGTGGAGAATCCCACAGGGATCCCACAGGCAGGGCAAGGGGGAGCATCTCCTCCTCCAGGGGAGAGGTGGATATTTGCAGTCCAGAGGGACTGAAATCCAGCATCCTGCCTGGTTGGTGCATACCCCCTGGAGAAGAGGCTGGTAASCAGGACCTCAGGGCAGAGACAAGGCTGGGATGTACCTCAGAGTCTCCTTGATAATGGCCCGAAGCATCGGCAACTTGGGGATATCCTCAGCAGCAGGAAACCGGTCGGCAGGCACAACAGCTTTCAGCTCCTGGTACAGGGTCTCCTGGATGTCTGGGTCCCGGGAGAGGTGGTACAAGGCCCAGGACAGCGTGTTGGAGGTCTGGGGGAGTGGAGCACCAGAAGGAATTTGGGCTGGTACCTGAGCAGCCTTGTGCCAAGCACGGCAGCAAACAGCCCCTGCTCTGGTGTGCAGGAGGCCAGGGGTAAGGGTCAGCAAGCACAGGGGAGAGGGAGGCAGGGAGGAGGCCACAAAGCAGAGCAGAGGAYGGGGTTGGCACTGACTGATCCCTGAGGGTTTGCCCCTGTGGGGCAGGGGCTGGGCTGAGCATGGCCCCCTGGGCATGGAGCTCAGCAGGGATCACCTGGCAGCAGCTACCCAGCTCTCACCGTGTCCACACCGGCCAGCAGCAGCTCAGCCACGCTGCCATAGACCTCATCCAGGCTGAGTCTGCCACTGGCCAGCAGGTAGCTCAGGTAGCCAGACACCTCCTTGCCACGTTCCACCTGCCCCTCCAGCTCCTCCATCTTTCGGTCAATCAGGTTTTTGCCTGCAGGGACAGAGTGTGGAAACCAGAGCTGACAGTGAGGGCTGTCAAAAGGACATGCAGCCAGGGACTGTCCCACTTTTGAGGGTCCTTAGGAAGTCCAGTGCCACCACACCRGGCTCCCATCATCACCACTCACCGAAGGCAAAGATGGTGTCCCAGCTGTTCAGGTAACGGTCCCAGAAGGGCAGCACCTTGCGGCTCCATCGGGGCAGGACGGTGGCAAAGATGGAGTTCTTGAACATGAGGTTGATGGAGTCAATGAAGCGCTGGGTCTCAGCAGGGACCTGCTGCTTGAGGCACCCGATGCGGGTCTCGAAGAGGATATAGGAGATCCCTGCAGGGGACAAACAGCATCCAGACCCCTGGGGAATGGGAAGAGTGGGACAGGACAGGGGTGAGGTGGAGGATCCCCCTACCTTCCAGGGCAAAGCGGTACAGCAGGTTGGCCACGTCCCCCACCAGCACCCCCGAGGGGCTGCGGCTCCGTTCCTCCCGCAGCCGCACCATCAGGTCCGACACCACCTCCCCGATGGCATCCGCATACAGCAGCGCCTCCGAGGGCTTCAGCAGCCGCTTGTTGAGGACCTGGCGCAGGCGGTACCAGCGCTCCCCTTCCCTGGATGGGGACAAARCTCAGTGCTGGGGGCACAGACGGGCAGGGGGCAGTGGCTGCCAGCAGTTCCCCAGTCCCTGTGTGCACACTCCCCACCACACTGGAACCACCCCAGGGGTCATTCCACCCACCGTGGCCTCACCCTTCTCCTTGGTGGGCACATGCCRCTTTGCAGGAATGGGAGCAATACAAACTGCTCTGGGCCCTACACCTACAGAAGGGAGATGTGTGCTGCCCCACAGAGCATAGCCAGGGCAGGACTCACTCGGTGAAAGGTCCGTAGGGCAAGCGCCGGGTGTCCCGGTGCTCCTTCCACAGGGCCATGTCGCTCCGCATCGGGTACTTGCCCTCCTGCCGTAGCAGCTGCTCCAGCACCACTGGGCTCCCAATGTTGATGTTCCTATAATGTCCGAAGGTTGACTTCCAGATAGGTCCRTAAAGGCGTCGGGATATCACCTGTGATGCGCAAAGCATGGCAGGGTCATGGACGGGCTGGATTGGGGCAGATCCTTCCTGCCCCAATGGTGCCCTGAATGTGCCTATCTGCACCCATCCCATGGACCCACAAGCATCAGCTGAGCCCAARCACCTGCCTCTGACCCCCGAGCTGGCACCATCCCTGAAATGCTCCACAGATGGCCTGGGCTTGTGTCTCCAGGCTCATTTCCTCTGCCAGCACTAAGCACACCAGGCACTGACCCCCCAGCACATTCCTCACCCACCCCAGAGAGCACAGAGAGCTTGGTGGGTCTTTTGGGGTAGGAAGACCAAGCAGAGACAGCAGGGACAGAGACAACTGCCAAGCACAGGACTGTGCTGAGATGCAGAACTATTGCAGCAGCCACCAGCAGGTCTAAGTCCTGCTGCTTCCAGCATGGCCACAGCTCTGCTTAACCCGGGGAAAACAGTCGCTGAGTGGGTCCTTGAACTCRCCACCCAGTAAGGGTGGTTAATGATCAGCACTGGGAGGGCAGCGCCAGGCTAAGGCATGACTGGGCTGCTCCCAAAGCAGACTGTCACCTCCAGGGCATGGCCCTGGGGCCACAGGCTCACAAGCCAGCTAAGGGACATCCASCAACAACAGCCCTGCTCTGAGATCTGTTGGCTGCAGCTCCCCTGTCCTCACCTGCAACCACAGGTGCCATGCCTGCCTCCATGACCCCCAGCTAAGCACATCCCTTGGGGGCACCTGGGCATCCCCTTGCAAGTGGATCTGCACAGGGCCGTGTCCAAAGGTCACTTTCCATCGCACCCAGGCACTGCCAGAGCCCCTGCAGAGCATGGCCAAGCATGGGGGGATGCAGGGGACCTAGCAGGGAAGCTCTGGTCCCCGTTCCCCGTGGCTGCGGGGATGCACGTGGTACAATCTCCCTTGGTGACTGTCTGCATCGCAGCCTGCGCCCGGATTCAGCTGGATTCGTCACCACGGGGAGACGTTCCTCGWGCGTGGTGGCAGGAGGAGGGGGAGGGACAGCCGCCCCGCTACTGCAGGCAGCTCGTGGGCATGGGGCAGCTGTGCCCCGGGTTGAAGCCTGCCTACCTGCATCTGCTGGCAGCCAGGACCTGACATGGTGCAGGCCTTGGAGAGCGGGGCTGAGAGAAGCCAGAACTGCCAGGATCTGGGGGAAGGCACCTCCAGAGCATGTGGGCATCTTTCTGTAAAGCCAGGCTGTGCTTGGAGTCCCAAGGGCAGAAGGGAAAAGGAGGAAGCTCCAGTGCCTATGCCCTGAAATCTCGCTGTCCTGTGATAACCCCTTCTCCAAGCAGCAGTGCMCGGTGCTCTGAGATGCCAGGGAGGCCTGATCCCACATGCTTCCTGGGCTGGCCAGCGCTCCAGGGTGCTAGAAGATGCTGCCTGGCTTGGAGCCAGCCAAGCCCATCGCTTGCTTCATCCGACGTATGAGGAAGTATCGACAGAAGAAAACAAATACCTCTGCCTATCGCTCCCCTGCCTGCCTGGATAACATCTGCCCAAAAACCTGCCCGGTCACCTTAACCCAAAACTGCTGCCTCTCCCAGATTGTCACAGACAGGAGCCTGGGGATGCCAGGACCCTGTGAGATGCCCCCGAACCTTTGCCCTCAGCTGTCTGGTCAGTTCGGGGATGCTGGAGCAGCCCTGGGCTGGCTGGACTCCCCCGAGGTCACCCGGTTCTGCTGGCCCCTCTCTGCCTGCTGGACCCAGCATCACCCCGTGGTGCCGGGTGCTCGCCACCGCCCAGCCCGTCTGCTCCCCTGCTTTGCCGCCYCCGCTTAACTCCCTGCCGTCACCTGTCGGCAGCATCCCCCTCCCTGGAGCCCACCTCCCCTTGCCCCCAGCCCGCACCCGCTCCCTCCCTTGCAAAGCACCCCCGAGAACGGCACCCTCCCCGCAGCCCCTCTGGAAGCCCCTCCATCCCACGCACCCCTCCCAACCCTCCCCCTCCCGCCCACGCCCCGTGCAGGGTCGCCAGGCCCCCACGCACCCCGACCCCCGCAGCCCCCGGGCCGGGCTGCCCCGGCGCACCTGCAGCCGGTGCGTGTGCAGCAGGTAGCCCCGCAGGAACAGCCAGACGAAAGTACGGAGCAGCCCCGGCCCCGGTAGCTCCTCCGGTCCCTTCAGCCGCGCCGGCCCCGCCGCCGCCGCCGCCGAGCCCCCGGTCCTGCGCGGCGGTCCCGGGCTGCTGCGCG